GGCCCTGTCCATAACACTCCCCCCTCCATCTCCTAGAGGAACCAAGCCGAGCCACAATCCCAGCCTACTCCTAACTTCCCTACTTCACAGCGCAGTTGTCAGACCAGATGTTAGGGAAGTAGGACCAGATTTCGACTCCTGACTTGACCAGACTCTCACACCCCGACCTTCTGACCATTCCAGACCTGATAGACAGACAGCAACAGTGACCATCAGAGAGGAGGGATAGAAGAAGGTACTCAACACACACTCTACATGCAGCCAGGTAAGGGTAAGAGGTTCTTCTCTCTTCTAAAGTCGTCGATGAAGTCTCCTCATTCGCTCCACGCTCCACGCGCAGGTAAGATTTCCCTCCTTAGCCCCTTCCTCTTCGGCTACCTTCTCCCTCCGTATCCCAATACACACCTTTCTCAACCTTACACCATCACCAACATCTTCAAGCCAGCGCAGTCTCCTTGCCGGCCTTACTCATGCCAGCGCTTCAGTGAGCGCAACAAGTTCTGCTCCGATACCAAATTGCAAGGAACCTGAGAGTTCACAACCCGCTGGAGTGTATCACATTGCATGCATAGATGTCATTCACATAGATAGAGAAGCTTCACACAAAGCCAAGTTGAGATGAGATGAGAACCAAGGTAGCGCAACCTTTATTATCACAATCACATTATACAAAGAGTATCTCGAGTTCAAGAGTTCAGCGCCAACAGATTACAAGTCTCCCTCAATAAATCATCAACATAGGGTCTGGCTCAGCCAGCGTCAGCCCTCAGATCACAGGTATGGCGCCAACAGGCAAGTGTCCACCATATCCAACTCCTCAACCTATCTTCTCTCTCTCTCTCAAGTTCTCTGTCTTGGTCCTCTTGTCTCACTCTGCATGCACAATCCCTACTGATGAGGATCTACTCTGAATGCTACTCACTAATGTCTAGTACTAACCCCTCTACTTCTACTAACAGTGCTGGCGCAACTATGGCTGCTTCTGCCTGCCAGCGCCCAGCCTCTTCTTCCACCTTCTTCGCAGCTTCCAGCCAGCGCTCTCTCCCTGCTTCCTAGCGCACAAGTGCCTCATCACTTCCACGCAACAAAGCCAGTGGAGTTCTGTCGTGAGGGAGGCTGGCTCGATCTTTTATAATGCTGGCCTCCCTCCACGATGTCTGAATTTGCCTTCCTTGGGTCTTTCCCCAGTCCCAGGCCTCTGTGGAGTGTGTCCCAGTACCTTATCCTCAGGGTCTGCTGCGGCGGCGGCCTTCAGGCCTGAATTTCGGACTTCCAGTCTGCATCTAGACTCCCTCTTGGACTTGGATCTGGACTTGGACCTTCTCTCTTTGACTTCTTGGCGAACAGACATGACTTCTGCACGAACAGACTTGGCCCTGCATCCTTTGGACGAACAGATGTGACCCTGTTCGCTTCTAAAACCAAATGTTGTGACTGTTCGCACTGGGGCACGCACTGGGGCACGGCGGTGGCCTTTGACACGACTTTTCTTTTCAGTTAGGATGTGACTTCTGACTTAGGGAACATGTCTTTTGATCTGCCTTCCTCGAATTAGGTTCTGGCCTAGTGGGCCCCATTATGATGCGTTCGTCATTCAGGGTCTGAACGGTAAGACCCTTTTACTCTCGCCGGCTTAGTTTCGAAGTCCTCTGAGAAAACCTTCATTTATTTATAATGCTTATCCCTCTTCTTGCTCTTTCATAAGTAGATACAATATGAGGTGCATAATTAATCAATTCCTCCCTTGTAAACCAGCGATCGTCACCTGGGTTCTGATATGCAAATCTTACTTTATACTGTCGCTGGGGTCTGCCTCTGCGTCCAGTTTGAAGAGTACTTTCAACAATAATCATGTCCACATCATATTTCCCATCCATACTATAAGGTATCGCCGATCTGCGACTGGGAAATAACTCATTCGTCATACAAGGTAAGAGCTTTGAAGCGTGAAACACTGGATACGTATGCGAATGCAGAGGAATCTCAACAACGTAAGAAGGTCCATCCACATCTCCAATCACATCTAGAACCTGCCAAGGTCCTCTGTAGGTTGGTAGCAATTTTTGGGAAATGTTCTCCTCAGGAACGAACTCTTTAGACTTAACCCATACCAGATCACCTATAGCAGACTGAAAAGGTCTTCTGTTCTTATTCGCCTGTTCTACCATCTGATGTTGTGCCTTTACTTTCTTAATGTCTTTCTGATATTGTATCGCAAACTCACTTGTTCCTAGTGGAAGCTTATGTACTTGATTCGGGTTCAGGCGATCGATAGGTCTTCGTGGACGCCATCCCAAATGCAACTCCATCGGAGTCTTGAAGCACTAGCAACTTTGGGCAAATGCTCGTCCCAGTCAATCTGGTCGGGACGTATGTACATACGCAGCGTTTGCTGCAAAATCTTGTTCATTTGCTCAGTCTAGTCGTTTGTTTCAGGGTGTCGACTTGACGACATAGTCAACTTAGAGCCATAGACGTCCATAAGTTGCTACCATTGTTCACTCGTGAACCGCGAATCTCTGTTACTTACAATCGTTAGGGGATGTCCATAATCCTTCACCCAGTGGTTAAAGAATTTCCGGATTACCAATTCTCTTCTTGCTTCCGCCGGCAATGCTACGAAGACAGCATACTTACTAAACCTGTCAACGATGACCATAACTTGAGTTTTTCCATTCCTGCTTTTCACCTTGGTGTCTATAAAGTCAATGGACACAGAGTCTCCTGGACCTGTTGGGATTGGCAAAGGCTTCAATAGACCAAGGGGAGGCTGAGTGGTGCTCTTATTTCTTTGGCACACTTGACAACCCTGCACATAAGCGATGCAGTCGGGTTACATGCGAGGCCAAGTGTAGGAACGCGAAAGGTTTGCATACGTCTTCTTCCATCCAAAATGGCCTTCGGTGTCGTGGCACTCCCCCAAGATCAGACTTTTGATCTCTTCCACATTTGGAATACAAAGCCGATCATGCACATCCGTCCTTTCAAACAACAGTCCTTGTGTAGTACGATAGTTAGGAAACTCTTGAGGCGCTTCTTGTATAAGCTTAACCATAGCGCCATAAACAGGATCTGTGGAATACGCACTTCTAATTTTCTCTTGCACATCGGCGTCCACATCTAAATATGTTACAATGGCACCGAAGAAATCAGATCTTCGACTTAGTGCATCGGCGACAACATTATACTTCCCCTTGACTGGCTTTAGCTCAAAATCATATTGGTCAATCTCAGCAGCCCACCTAGTCAATTTAGGTGTCATCTGGACCTGCGTTTTAAGCCAGCGAAGTGTCTCATGATCAGAGTACACCTTGAAGTGACATCCTAGGAGATAGTGTCGCCAGTGATCCAAACCTTCCCGGAGAGCAAACAACTCTCTCTCATATGTAGAAGTGGCGACCTTCTCACTAGGCAGTCGTCGGGACATAAACTCAACAGGCCTATATCCATTCCCATCATCTTGTTGGAGCACAACGCCTATTCCGTATTGACTGGCGTCAGCTGTAACAACAAAGGACAAGGAAGGATCAACGACTTTCAAGAACGGATAGTTAATCGGACATTTCTTTAGACGCTTGAACGAGGATGTACAATCCTGATCCCACTTCCAAATTGTTTCTTTCTTTAATAATATGCGAAGGGGAGCAACGATTACCGTGAAGTGTTTAACAAACTTACGATAATAGTTAGCCAACCCAAGGAAGGGCCGCAATTTAGTCAAAGTGCGGGGGTTGGGCCAATCACTAATTGCTGCAATCTTTGCGTCCTCCGGTTTGATTCCTTCTCCATCAAGAACATGCCCCAAATACAACACTTCTCGCTTTGCCCACTCACATTTTTTGGGGTTCAATTTCAACTTTGCCTCGTGCAATTTATTTAGCACAAGTTGAAGGTGCTCGCAATGCTCTTTCAGATCTTTACTAAAAATCAAAATATCGTCAAGATATACAACAACAAATCTATCAAGCCATTCGCGGAAAAGTTCATTCATAGTCCTTTGGAAGGTTGCAGGGGCATTAGTCAGACCAAAGGGTAATACTATGAACTCATAGTGCCCATACCTTGTACGAAAGGCAGCCTTGTATTGGTCCTCTGGCTCTACCTCAATCTGATGGTAGCCAGACTTCAAATCAATCTTCGTGAAGTACTTGCAACCCCGAACTTTATCCAATAAATCATCAATTCTTGGCAATGGCTCAGCATTCTTTACTGTTATCTCATTCAATCTCCTATAATTTATACACATGCGGACCCCACCATCTTTCTTTGGCACAAAAAGTACTGGCGCACCATAGGGCGAGGAGCTAGGTCTTATCCATCCTTTCTCCAACAATTCATCAAGCTGGGTTCGCAGTTCTTCCAACTCTTTTGGTGACATCCTATAGATTGGGCCCTTAGGAATCTGACTTTCTGGTACAATATCAATGCGATGTTTGATTGGTCTTTCAACTACACTGCCTGGGGTCTCTGCCACATCTGCGAATTCTTTCAAAATCCTTTAAAATTCTAGGGACTTCGCCTCTTCTTTGGCTTCTCCCACCTTTAATGGGCGCACATATGCCACAAAGACGTGATCAAACAAGTTATATTTCTTAACATGGCAGGCGAACACGGGGGCACTCATACGACAGTGATCCAAGCTGCTTTCTTTTCCAGATTCATGGAACAAGTGGATTTTCTTCTTTCCACCCTGTGGACTAGGGAGCCAACACTCATGATCTTTAACTTTATATCCGCATCTGCAGCTTCACCCCAATCCATGCCTAAAAGAATGTCAAAAGGGAGACTATCTTCCACCAAGAGAGTCAGAGAGTGGAGAACGCGTTCCACCTTCCTCTCTGCTTCGAGCCGAAAGTACGTCTGAATCCCTTCAATATACCTATCGAACACAATTTCGCTATTATTCGCTAACTTGCTTATCACAGGCTCATCTAACTGCTTAACCTTGAGCCCGAGACGCAACTTTTGCAAACCTTTCTTACTTGTATAGCAGTGTGTTGATCCGCTATCAACCAATCCACCTACTCTTACCTTATTAACTTCTAGATCTGCAATTATTAATTGTCCCTTACACTTTTTCATTTCGGTCCAGGCTTTGCGACGAGTGGCCAACTCATCACCTATGCCAACGAGGGATCCACCTAGAGAGGTACATACACTAACTACCTCTGGATAGTTAACTAGGTGGGGACCGTCTTTCTTTACAGTTTCTGCCAGGAAAACCTTCGGATGGGAGGATGTTTGTCTATTTACATCCGAAGTTCCTGTAGAGGCAATTGAAACCCCTATTGGTTGTTCTCTTTTGGTACCTTATAATTTGGGCAATAGGGAACAATGTGGTTGGGGTCACCACATTTAAGGCACTGGTCGGCAACTTTCCTTTCTTGCCAGACTTTCTTTGTAATCCCTAACTTTTCCCAAGGTCTGCCTTCCGACAAACCAGGATGGGGTGGATATGCCTTATCCCAATTTCCATACCACGTGCCTCTTCCTCTTCCCCAAGTGGAGTTGAATCCTCGGCCACCTTGCGAGGGACCATTGCCCTTTCCTCCCACGTAGTAGCTTCCTTTGCCACCACCCCTCTGGGTGCCGAATCCTCTTCCTCCACGTCCGCGGCCTCCTCTTCCTCGGCCACGGCCTCTTCCTTGTCACCCTCCCCCGCGGGCTGCAACGACCGCGTAGTCCCCCTCTTGGACTACCGACCTGTTGGGTCCTCCCTCTAGACCATAATCTATTTGATCATAGGAGAGAGTTTCGACACCACCTCCTTCAAAGGTCAGAAGGAGGTTGTCTTTCCCAGGTATAGACCCTGAGATGGTGCGGTTCTGCCAGTTTGTTCCCGCTTGCACATCTTTCCAATAATGGCAGTAGTTAGCTTCAACTAAGAAGCCAGCATGATCCATGGCGATCTTGCTAAATTTCTCATATGTCATCCCCTCCTCCTTGGTACGGGGATATAACTGAGTACGGAGAGGATCAGGTAGTGCCCTAGCAAAGTTATTTAGAATCTGCGTTGGAGTAAGTCCGTGCTCAACGCATTGCAAGAGTTCATCCATAGTTGCTTTAAGGGCGGACGCACTTTTCCATTTTATGTCTGCAATGTTTAATATTAGCATTTCGGTTCTGCGAGCCAAATTTTTGTCTTCGAATCTTTCTCTAACACCTTTGAAGAAATCTTTGATTCTTGTTTGCTGGGAGTATTCAACCATTGTCTGACAATTGGCTTCTTTTTGCAGCGATATGACGAAGCTCATTGCATCGCCGACCATGCACGAACTGGCCATTAGGACCCTGTCCCAATATAAAATGCGTTGTCCATACACGTAAGATTCTACATCAGCAATCCAATGCAACACACTCTCCTCCTTCTTGTCGGTGTATGTCCATGACACCTTCACTTTGATCTTTCAGACTTCCCCTGAGTCATATAGCTTTGCCCCCTTTCCTTTCTTATCTCCATCTCCTCCATCTTCATCTCCGTCTCCTCCATCTCCTCCGCCGCCACCTAATATTTTCTTGGCCACAGCGGGATCTGACAATCTCTTAACGAGTTGTTCATCTAGCTTCTCTATGCAGGTTATGATATGCCTATCGACCTTTTGCGCAGATCGCTGCAGGAAGTTCCAAACTCCTTCGAACTCAAACTGATGGTTTTCGAGTTTCTGAACGTTGTTTGTTAGTGCCGCCAGTTGTTGGTTGGTGTGGAGGAGGGTATCAGTGGGGAGAAAGAGTCTGTCGTTGGTAGCCGGTTTCTGTTCCTGCCCCTTTTGTTCTTGCAATTGTTTTTGCAACCTCTCTCCCTCTTCCTTCAGTTTTTTCTTTTCCTCGAATTCCTGCCTCTTTGCTGCTACCATTTTGTTGTTTAGTTCAACTTTCTTTTCTTGAATCAGAAGATCTTTCTCTTTAGGATCATCTGTTGCAGCCAACAGTTCGACAAAGGCGTTCTTTTCCTCCTCCGTCTCAACATACATAGGGGTCCTACACCCAAACTGGTCGAGCCAATTCATGGCCTCAAGCTCAATTGCAATGCCGCTGGTCCTGCTGGACTCTCCTCTTTCTGTCTGGCATCTCTGCAATCTTTCAGCATCTTCATATTCTTCTTCTTCCTCTTCTTCTTCTTCTTCAACTGCCTTCAACTCTTCCCGCAGTTTTCTTTCTTTTTCTTTTATTTCTTTCTCCAACTTTTCTCTTTCTTCTTTCATTTTCTTCACCTCTTCCTCTTTCTGTTTCTTTTTCTGTTCCTTCTCTTTCTGTTTTTCTGCCATGCGGCGATCCACTTCTACCTGTTCAGCCGCAGACAGCCCCTACTTCACCTTGCCAGATCTCATTTGCATCATGTCGGAAGCGCAGACCCTCCCAAAACCAAAGGGGAAACAGAATCTGAACAGTGGCCCCAACAATACTGAAAGGGCCAACAATCCCTGCATGGGATAATCATCCATGGTGGGTGACAGCATAGGGAAAACCTCTGTTGACTCACCAAGTGACCAACCCAGATATTATATGACCTTTACTTTGTCTAATCTGACGTGGATGGGATATGCTCTGTTTTTTTTTTTTTTTTATGTTTGGATGTCGCTGCTTTGGAATGTCGAATTTCAGAGATGCAACTCAACTCAGGATGCAATAGGACTTCACTTTTTTTTCTTTTTTTTTTTTTGCTTCTGTATTCATTGCCTGCCTTTTACTTAATTACCTCCTTTTCCTTCCTTTCGTTGGTCTGGTTGTATCCCTGTTTCCTTTCTTTTTATTATTGCTAATACCTCTGGTCTGTTGCGCAGGAACAAGTTGGAGTCCTCACAATGTCAGATGCAGGGGATGATCCTCAACGCAGATCACTTTGCCAACTAGATTATGCCTTATACCTCAAGTGCGATCTGACGTGGCACTCTGCCACTATCCCCCAGCCTACTCCTAACTTCCCTACTTCGCAGCGCAGATGTTACCAGATGTCAGGGAAGTAGGACCAGATTTCGACTCCTGACTTGACCAGACTCTCACACCCCGGCCTTCTGACCATTCCAAACCTGATAGACAGACAGCAGCAGTGACCACCAAAGAGGAGGGATAGAAGAAGGTACTCAACACACACTCTACATGCAGCCAGGTAAGGGTAAGAGGTTCTTCTCTCTTCTGAAGTCGTCGATGAAGTCTCCTCGTTCGCTCCACGTTCCACGCGCAGGTAAGATTTCCCTCCTTAGCCCCTTCCTCTTCGGCTACTTTCTCCCTCCGTATCCCAATCCACACACCTTTCTCAACCTTACACCATCGCCAGCATCTTCAAGCCAGCGCAGTCTCGTCGCCGGCCTTACTCATGCCAGCGCTTCAGTGAGCGCAACAAGTTCTTCTCCGATACCAAATTGCAAGGAACCTGAGAGTTCACAACTCGCTGGAGTGTATCACACTGCATGCATAGATGTCATTCACATAGATAGAGAAGCTTCACACAAAGCCAAGTCGAGATGAGATGAGAACCAAGGTAGCGCAGCCCTTATTATCACAATCACATTATACAAAGAGTATCTCGAGTTCAAGAGTTCAGCGCCAACAGATTACAAGTCTCCCTCGATCAATCATCAACGTAGGGCCTGGCTCAGCCAGCGTCAGCCCTCAGATCACAGGTATGGCGCCAACAGGTAGTGTCCACCATATCCAACTCCTCAACCTGTTTTCTCTCTCTCTCAGCATCTTTCTCTTGGTCCTCTTGTCTCACTCTGCATGCACACTCCCTACTGATGAGGATGTACTCTGAATGCTACTCACTAATGTCTACTACTAACCCCTCTGCTTCTACTAACACTCCTATCGCTGCTTCTGCCTGCCAGCGCCCAGTCTCTTCTTCCACCTTCTGCACAGATTCCAGCCAGTGCTCTCTCCCTGCTTCCTAGCGCACAAGTGCCTCAACACTTCCACGTAACAAAGCCAGTGGAGTTCTGTCGTGAGGGAGGCTGGCTCGGTCTTTTATAATGCTGGCCTCCCTCCACGATGTCTGAATTTGCCTTCCTTGGGTCTTTCCCCAGTCCCAGGCCTCTGCGGAGTGTGTCCCAGTACCTTACCCTCAGGGTCTGCTGCTGCGGCGGCCTTCAGGCCTGAATTTCAGACTTCCAGTCTGCATCTAGACTCCCTCTTGGACTTGGATCTGGACTGGGACCTTATCTCTTTGACATCTTGGCGAACAGACATGACTTCTGCACGAACAGACTTAACCCTGCATCCTTTGGACGAACAGACGTGACCCCTGTTCACTTCTAAAACCAAATGCTGTGACTGTTCACACTGGGACACGACGGTGGCCTTTGACACAACTTTTCTTTTCAGTTAGGATGTGACTTCTGACTCAGGGAACATGTCTTTTGATCTGCCTTCCTCGAATTAGGCTCTAGCCTAGTCGGCCCCATTATGATGCGTTCGTCATTCAGGGTCTGAACGGGTAAAGGCCCTTTTACAATGGCCCCGAAGTATCGTCATCGAACTGACCGGTCTTAGGTAATTCAGGATTGTTGTATTTTACTCGTCTGCTTCCAGTGGAGTTCGAACTCAGGTCTGTATTTCTTTTCTTTTTTTCATCAAGGGGTTGTGTGGAGGCTCGAAGT